CCCCAAAACCCCAAAACCCCAAAACCCCTAAAGTCAAAATTAATCTTTTATTTAAACAACAGACAAAGCGAATTAATAAAATTTAATAATTAAAATGTCTAGCGGGGAAGACTCAACAGCTCAATAACATCAGCAGCGCAGTGAAATCTTGAATAGATCTCACCACTATAAAAAGAGTTCTAAGATTACGAAGCAAGCCTTTAAGGAATTATTTGCCTTTGAAGAAAACGATAGAGACAAGAAGCAACTAAAAAAGGATTTCAAAAAGATTGAAAAGTAAAACAAGGGACAGGTTAAATTTAAGCATTTACTTGGTAAGTAACAAAATAAATAAAAAATTGTTAAAATGCATCTGAATTTGGAAGATGTTAATATAGTATTCAATCGTGGTTGAGTTAGAGTATTGACTTATTAATATAGATTACTATCTATCTGGAAGTGAGAACTTTGGAGGACAGATGAAAGAAATCGATTCAAGAAAAATACTTGAGGCGCTAGAGAGCGAAAATGATTAAGGGTTTAATGAGAGACTTTTGAAATTAATATGTGTTAACTAAGCAATAATGAAGTTTCAAAAAGAACTTAACAATCTTCAAGAATTCAAAGAGGACATCTTGAGCTCATTGTAATATAAACTTTTCTTTAATGCTTTAATGCTTAGTGATGAAGAAGATCCCTCAGATAAATTATAAAATTTCCTTAGTACTATGAAAATTCAGTAGCAATCAATTATACAAGAGAATCAAGAGTTTGACAAGAGTAAGCATAGCATTAGTCCAATGATTTAAAAATATAGATATTCAGCAGATTGACATGAAACTGTAAAATATGATGACATTCATGAATGACTTTGCTGTCAATTTCTAAACTTCACTGAGAGATACTAGTACTTCATTTAGACCATCTTCCAGTTCATACTCCATGAGACCTTCATCATAGGGCTACAGAGCAGGGCTGCTAACTACTTAAGTGTGGCCCAAATCAAGAATGCTTTTCGCTATTGTATCTAAGATGTCTAAAGAGGGATACTTGAATGAGCAGTAGAGAGGTGTGCTTAAAGATCTTATTCTAGATTATGATCAAAGACTCCTTACATGCTTGCAAGAATATGAAATTGGTAAGTATCAATATACTCATATAGATTTTAATTGACACTTTAAATTCTTATAATGTATTTATAGGTGGAGACAGAGAGAAACTTTACTATAACTTGATATAGATTGCAAATGGTTGATAGGAAATGATAAGGATGGTTATCGATCACAATGAAGATAAATCAATTTTCACTATTTGTCCTATTTTATTAATTTCTAATCAAGACTTAAACAAAGTCAATGGGGTTTTGGGGTTTTGGGGTTTTGGGGAGAGTTTTGATTAAGAGA